GAATCATCCTGAATTAATGATGTGTACAATGTTAAGTAACCCTTTATTAATGATTAATTAAGGCTAAATAAGGTGTAGTTATTATAAAGTGTTACCAATAAATCTTGCTCGGTTAATTCATGCTCAAGGTATGTGTTGGGGATGACTCTCAGCAACTAAAACCAAAGCCAAATATTTGTAAAAATGGCTGAGTTTTAGCAGTTTGTGAGTTTGCTACAGTTGCTRACCACTGTGGTTTGACATCCTGAATGAATCTCATGTGATAAAAGTGGTGTGATWTTTGAGAGTTAATACTGAGTCACCTCAAGACTTTAGTGTAATGATAAAATAAAGTTCTGACTCTTTTATGCTGCCAAAATATGTGAGGCAAACTGATTGTTATAAATAAAAAAAATGTCTTTAGCTAATTTTCTTCATTCAGTTAATGAGGCGAAATAATGATTGTGATTCTTCCCTCCTACCAGATATGACCATGGAGGAGGTGAGGGAGTACGAACGCACCACACAGGAAGCCACCAACCTGAAGATTGGCACCTTCCCCCCCACCATCTCCATCTCAGAGACCACCCTGGCATCCTGCACCCGCAGCGGACCGAACAGCGCCCCGTCCACTCCCCTCTCCACCGAAGCTCCGGACTTCCTGTCGGTGCCCAAGGACCGACCCAGGAAGAAGTCCGCCCCGGAGACGCTGACCCTGCCCGACCCGGGCCGCAGGGATTCACTCTTCAAGCTGCCCAGCTTTTTCTCCTGGAACTCCAGCCCGCAGCCCGAATGAGACCTGGACCGCACCGCTTTGAAAACACCCTCAACCTGTCAGTCGGTGCCTGTCCAGCACAACGTCCCCTCAGCCAGAACGAGTGAAGGAGACCTCCCACTGTCCTGGTCATCCTTGAACCTCAGCTGGTGTTACAGTGAAGCCAACGGCTCTCAGACTGCCTTTAAAAAGGCGCAGCCGGGCAGCTGCATCCCAAACGAAAAACCCTTCAAGAGTCAAAGCAAAGGCAGCTGAAGCTACWTACAAGAAATACCCAACCTACATCGTGCAACGGTCAGCATGGAGTCCATGTGTCGCACATTCCTGCAAGCGTTTTAACTCACAGATCACTTTGTTTTCATCCAAGCTCAGGGTGTCGAGATAAGATTTAAGGTTCGGTCACCGAAACTTTACATGTACAAAATCCATTTTTTTTGCTGCTTCACCTTTGAACACCTGAGTTTCTGGCTTGTGTTTGTATTAATGTGATGAAGAGTTTGTCAGCCTCTGTAACAAGTATTATACTCTGACCTCTCAGGTGTACAAGGATGAAGTATGAAGTGTAAATACTGTATGAACACTGTTGATGTCAAAACTAAAACTATGTCTAGCAGTAAGAATACTATGAAATTTATGTTTTACAAACAAGACTGTTTGTGTTATTTATAGTGAATATCTGCCATATTGTCCTCGTGTGATAACATCATTTTGACAGAACCCACTTCGACATTTTCTGCCAATTTAATGTTTTCTTTGCTGTCTCAGTCTCTTACGTAACGTGTTTCACCTGAGGTTTTATTGATTATGTGGTGTTGTTCACCTGCTATAATCTGTTTGTGTTCGTTGTTGGTGATGACTCTGTAAATTAAATTATATCAAATACTGATGCATCGATAACGGTTTAAAAAAGTCTTTGTTAATGAATCTAAATAAACAGATTTTAAAATTGGTAATGCCGTACACAAAAATAGTCTAAAAAAAAGTAAAAGGGAAAAAAATCTTGTTTAAAAAAAAAATTAAACTTATGTATGTAAATATATTCAAAATATAATAATTGCAGACTGGATGCAGTTTATACCCTTTTTATTCCTGTGTAAAGCAATCTTAAATAAAAGCAAAAGTGATGTTGCATTAATGTGTAATGTACATTCTTCTGACTTAAGATGGATTTTTTTTAGGAAAATGACCCAAAACGTTGAATTAGGAAATCTTTGGAAATGTTACATTTACAGCACACATGTCAACTTATATTTCAAATAAACTTTTTTTAAACTCTCAAAAAAAAAGATAAACTCCACAGACACTATATACAAATATCTCCTGTTGTAAGCAGAATGAGCATCATGTTTAAACCTGTGTTTACATCAGATAGTTGATAAAACTCTCTTTGATAAATCAGGTTTACTGGGTGATAAATATTTCTTTTTATCTGCAAAGTAAAGACTTCAGAGTCGCAGTGAAGGACAGTCATGTCGGCACACGTGTGTACAAAATATAGTGTTAAATCTCTGAATGAACGACTTCCTGACTGGTTTTATTATTAACATATCAAAGTAAATAATCTTTTTTTGTTTGTTTTGCTCACACCATCTTCTTGCAACAACAGCAAACACACAACTAATATTTACTAGTTTCCCTCATCCAATCTGATGACAAATTCTCAAGTCAACAMTAAACCTTTGAACAGTCTGAGCTAGGGTTGAGTAATATTGGGGAAAAAAACTTATCATGATTAATTGTTTAGCCGATAATGATTAATGCGAGGATTAATAGATGACAATTGCACTTGTATGTGGCCAAAGCCGTCCACCATTATGCTTACTTGTGGGTCTGATAGTGAAAGTGTGTCACACACAAAAATATATCATCACATAATTGAAGTAATTGCAAAGCAGCAAATATTCTGACGATTAACCACACACAATACTATTTTGCCCAACCTCAGACTGAACAAAATAAAAGCATAGTGACAACAAAATAAGAGCATAATTGWGCAATCTCATAATTCCTATACAACGGCTGTCAGAGTGATGCTTGATTATTTTTTCTGCAGACCAAGCAGGCCACTCTCAAGAAGAACAAAACAAAAACAAGGGAACACTCAGGCAGTAAGACTCACTCACAGAGTTACTGTTATTACATTCCTGTGGAATTTACTGATAATCCAGGGCACTCATAAACCCACTGACATTTAAATATGAATGAAATATGAAATGTCAAAATGCAAATTAAATGACATTTAACAAATAGGATGTTTATACAATTATATAACACCTGATATATAAAGATTATTTACCCCACATTCACCTGTGTAAACAGAACCCACCACTGACCTGCTTCGCTTTGTTCAGTAACTTGTCCAGTGCAACAAGACGTCAAGTGTGCTTTAATTGTGCGTGATTGCCTCGTCTGCGCCGTTTTGTTCGTTATCTCGCCCCTCGGTCTTTGGCGGGGACGTTTGTTTTCCGTTTCTCCCTGGCGTTACACAAGGCGTTGCGAAAGAACTCATACCAGAAAAAAGTGAAGCCTGTTGACAGCGCAGCTTTCAGCAGGCTGGGCGAGAGGCCTTTGAAGAATCCCCGCAAGCCTTCCTCTTCGGCCACTTGGACCACGCAGTCTCTCAGGCCGCTGTAGCTCCGCACCTGCGCGGCAGAGGAGCGGGCGAGTACGACTGAGACGTTTGTGCTTTTGCTGAAATCAAACGTGCAGGAGAGGAGCTCACCTTTCCGAAGTGAGCCCTGGCTTTCTCGAACCCGCCCACCTGCAGCCTCTTTTTGATTAAGTCACATGGATACGTGATGGTTTTGCTGATCATTCCAGCTCCGCTGCCACAAATCAGGCTYCTAAAGGTTCCTTGAAGAGACAAAAACCCATCAGTGCATGTCTGCTTAGATACTAAGCTGTTCTAGTAAACACTTGTAAACAGTCTGAACTCAAAGTTGATGAACCCAGAAAAAGAAAAGTAAGTTTCTGGCTCAAAGCTGCGTTACTGATATTTACTGTAGAAGGGTGAAATATAAAAGCTTTACAAATAGATGTTATATATTTAGGGTCTCAGTGTTTGTTCACTCAATTCTGACTAAAGCTTCATACAAAAGTTGAACCTAAACAGCTAAATCATGTGTAACAAAGTAATATCATAACAGAGATGTTTCAGGCTTAGCTGAACTGAAGTCGGCAGAATCATTTTTTTTTTTTTTTGTGAAACAAAAACTCAACAGACGACATCATCCAAAGAAAAGCTTTCAAAAATAATATCATTACACGTTTTCTGAAACACTGACCTCCAGAGTCCCTAGTTTTAGATGGGGGAGACAACAGCTTTTTAAAGATGTTGTAGAAGAAGAACTGCAGTCCAGCGTAAGGAAACACCGCCACCAGTGTTGGAGAGAGGCCGCGGTAAAACGTCAGCGCTCCCTCTGAGCGCCACATCGTGGACACGGCGTGACGCAGGTTTCTGTACACCTAAACAGACAGGAACGTTCAATAATGATTATGTAATGAAGACAGTTTATACTGCTTATTGACAAAATTTAAATTGCCTGGTTTTGTCTTTCAGGACAAAATAAAGTTCTTGTCCTGATGCATCTCAGTAATCCAGGTAAAAACTCAAAAAGAAAAAAATTGTGTAGGTCTTCTGGACGGGTTCTTCTCTAATGAAATGTTTCGTCTCTCCTCCAAGAGACTTCTTCAGTCTGAGAGTTTCAGGCAAAATTCAGGTTTTTAAGTCCTGCCTCCATGTGACTGATACTCACATCACATAGAAAAAACTGCGACGTTTATTTTCTAAACATGATGTCCCAGTGGCTTTCAAACCCCAAAACACATTACGGCAAAGGCTGGTTCACCCCAAAGATCCGGTGCCCCGGCACAAACAGAGCAATGTTGTATATGCTGTTAAGTGCCAGGAGGACTGCRACCAGTTATACATCGGGGAAACAAAGCAGCCACTGTTCAAAAGAATGTCCCAACACAGACGAGCTACGTCTAATGGCCAGAACTCTGCAGTTTTCACTCATTTACAGGCCAGCGGTCACTCTTTCAGAGATGAGGATGTTCTCATTCTTGATAGAGAGGAACGTTGGTTTGAGAGAGGAGTAAAAGAAGCCATTTTTGTGAAGAAAGACCGTCCATCATTGAACAGAGGTGGAGGCCTCCGTTTTCAGTTGTCCCCCTCCTACAGCGGGGCCATTGCCAGTATCACTCCACCCCCTGTTAACAATAAGTGTTAATTAGGTGTCAACGATAGCCATGTGATGTGAGTATCAGTCACATGGAGGCAGGGCTTAAAAGCCTGAATTTTGCCTGAAACTCTCAGACTGAAGGTCTCTTGGAGGAGAGACGAAACGTTTCATTAGAGAAGAACCCGTCCAGAGGACCTATACAATTTTTTTCTTTTTGAATAAAGTTCTTGTTTGTTTAGTTTGTTTGAGTGAATGATTGTTTGTGTGGGTTTCAATAAAATATGCCCAGCAGTTCACAAGCTATGTTGCTAACAGAAAGCCAGGGTTTATCTTATTAAAAAAGCAAGGGAGAGCTAGCTTTAATAGTTTGGTTGTAGCATCATGTGAGCTTTTAGAGTCGAAAAAGTCTGGTCTATGTTGATTTTACAGAACCTAAAGACTAATTTTGCCTGAAACTCTCAGACTGAAGAAGTCTCTTGGAGGAGAGACGAAACGTTTCATTAGAGAAGAACCCGTCCAGAAGACCTATACAATTWTTTTTCTTTTTGATTTTTTACCTGGATTACTGAGATGCATCAGGACAACCTAAAGACTAGCAGACACAGAGTTACAGCAGTGTCGTCGTGTTTTACCTTTGGTTCTCCCTGAGCAGCAAAGCGTGTCCTCAGCATGTCCAGAGGCTGACAGGCGACTGTAGCCGAGCAGGCCGCCAAACCGCCACACACAAAGTGAACTCCTGGTGTCTGACTGTCATACAGCGTCGACTTGTGAACCGCCTTAGTCAGAAACTCAAAGCTCACAAACTAGAAAAAAAGGGGAGGGGTATTTTGAGTTGCTGAGGATGTTTATCTTGTTGCTTTAATGAGCAGTTTTCTATTCACAAGCGCTACCTGGACTGCTCCAAAGCAGATGGAGAGAAACTGAGCTGGGATGTGACCCTTCCAGAAAGCAGAGATGCCCTCCTCTGAGTAAATGCATCGAGTTGCCTGAAGGATTCCCAAATACTTCCCCGTGGGTCTCTGTGAAGAAACAGGCTCGATTTGAAGCTGTGGGGGGGAAAGGATTTCATTGATTAGCGTATAAATAGCATTGCTATGACTGCGTACAAGGAACTGTAAATGAATCATCATGACTGGATTATATATTTACTTTTAATAAAATAGCCAAGCCTTTTTTCAGTGCAAAGTTTGCATAAATCATCTGTCACCACCTGCTGGTGAAGTACTGACTGAAAGTAGACTGTTACCTGAAATCTGATTTTAATGACATCAAATGGGCTGATGATGGCTCTAGTGACCATCCCAGCAGATGAACCTGCGATGACTGCCTCCTGAGGGGTAGGAGCTACATCCTGAGCCCGGGGGTCATAGCCCACCATCTCTCCACAACACCTAGTGACAGAAAACAAATAAATAAACTATATTTTCATAAATATATATATTTAAAAGATCATGTGGTGTTGCCAGTTATTGTGCGTGCAAGGTTGTTTCTTAATAATATGTGTCGATTTCATTTAATTTAGCAACATGACACTTAGTTTGGAGGACAGTAGCCCTTCCTCGGCTTGGGTCAAGCTAAGGTAAACTAAGCTAAAAACAGAGCAGCTGGTAACTTCATATGGTAGTGGTAAAGAGGGAAAAATTACCTTATAGTAACACTTCTTCGGGAATATTTCTGCAGCTTATACTTCAACTCCTAGCGCACTGAATAGCGCACTCTTACAAAGCAAAAACACCACACTGTTTGCCGGGTTAACTCGCTGCTAATGCTTCACAAAGCGCATGCTCCGTCTTGCAAAGACGATATGTGTGAACAAGATAACAACTGCCTCAACAAAACCATGCACAACGTAACTAACTCCGCCTTCTCGAACAAGATAAATATGTAAAGCCCGAAGCGCAACAAAACGCCACTTTACAACGCGTTTAGCTGATAAAACGCTGTTTTTTTATACGTCAGAACGCCGTGGAGAAACCGTATCTGACGGGGGAACGCGGCTCGACGTAACACCTGTTTGCGTCAACTTCCGGACTCCGAATGGGTCATGAATCGGGCAGCGACTTATCTTTACCTTTATACTTGCTCTTCGAAAGCCTGTTGGTTTGGATGTGTAGCGCTGGTGGTATGGTTAACTCAGATGCTTTAAACAGGTATATTTTCTCACATATTTTACAACACTATATTTATTAATAAAAGTAAGTTTTGTGCCAGATTTATGTTTTTTAATATTTATCTGTTTTATTCGTTTGGCCAGCGATATTGGCGTTCGGTATTGTTTACTATAGCAGCTCTCGAAGCACAAGCTAGCAAAAGTAATGTTTCATTACGCCGTATTGTGACAATGTTTTGGTTAAAACCAGTAATAAACAAGTGCATAGACGTACATTTACGTTATTCAAGTTCAAATGTGGCTAACAAATTATATTTATCACCTCAAAAAAAGAAAAGCATACTTTGAGTATTGGATGGTATTTAGTTGACAAGATCCCTTTTATCCCTCAGTGAATGAGCTGCAGAGAGCGATTTGATGACTACAGGGTTTTGGGAGTTTGTTGTCCCAACAGTATTTAAAAGGCTTTCACTGATTTTGTATGAAAAGAAGACCTGTAATCTTAAACTGACCAGTCTTGATCTGCAGAAAAGTGCAGTGAAATAAGGTTGTTTTATCTCCACAGTGTGACAACTCCCAGGTGTTTATTATCTTCTACCATCTATAATGGAAAACTCCACTGATGACTACAGAATTCAGTCATTTGACCCAGACTCACAGATATTACTGAAAACTGCTTTGAAAGGTCAGGATTTTGCATTATTTGTGTATTAATAATAATTAATGTTAGAAATAGTTTTAAGACCTGCATTTGGATGTTGTTGAAAACATTTTTCCCGCTCTGTAAACACGTTTTAAAACCATTTTCTTGCCCTCAGATCCAAGTTCTGTGAACCTGGAGAAAGTGTCCAACATAATTGTGGATCAGTCTTTAAAGGATGCTGTGTTCAGCAAAGAGGCCGGACGGATTTGTTACACAATTGTGCAGGTCCGTCTCTGTTTTAAGACACACATTCAGAGCCCAGCCTCAGTTAAAAGAGTACCTATCACCCGCCACAGGGGGCAGCTAAATATGAAACTAAATTAATCATTCTAACATTTGCCTCATATCTTAAAGCAACAGGAGGATCTTTCTTTTTATGAGACCTAATTCCCACCTGATTTTTTTTTCCTCCAGGCTGAGGCCAAAGAGAGCAGTGGAAATATTTTCAGAAAGCACCTGTTGAACCGACTCCAGCAGGAGTTTAACAAGCGTAAAGAAACGAGGTCGCGCTCRGTGCAGGAGTGGGTGTGCTTCGTCACCTTCATCTGTAACATCTTTGACTACCTCAAGGTAAGCGCAAGAGGCTGCTGTAACTTTCTGTCCACCATCAGCTATCCGTGTTTGTTTTGAGGTTTGTACTTGTGTGTGCGTCTCAGGTGAACAACATGCCGATGGCGGCTCTGGTCCATCCCGTGTATGACTGTCTCATGAGGCTGGCCCACCCTGATGCTTTAACAAACGAGGAGGAGGTGAGGTTACATCCGTTATTGTGCTTGTTAGCCTGAGGACAATGAAAATGTGCACTGAATACATTTCTTGTTTTAACATTGATCCACTGAGTTTCTGTCCTCCTTTTTTCAGCTTATAATTTGCTGAATTTTCACCGATTATGATGGATGACTTATTTTTTCAGATTGTATTCTATATTTCATGAATTCTTGAATTATAATCCTCATGATCCAAAAACACTAAATGGTATCATCGTTAAAGTGTATCTTACCCCCCTGTGAAAAGGTAACTCCGCCCCAAGGCAAAATTTGAAAAATGCATCAAAGTTGGTGGGTAGGTGGGGGTGGGGTTAGAGAGCGGAGGTGTGGCCAGGACGAGAGAACGCGACAGCTAGCATTAGCATAATTGATGCTACATGGAGAGTGACCACAGTATCGCAGATAGTTACATCTCTGAACGTCTGAGGTGGAGGATTTTTCACCCTCCTCCTCACCAGAGGCAGAGAGAGACTTGATCAAGTCAGCTCAGTCTGGGACTGACTCGTGTTGGCTCCCTGGATCAGGACATGAAGCTCCAGCAGCCTCGGCTGAGCTGTCCGCCTCACCAGCCTCGGACAGAGGAGGTGGAGCGCTCCACAACAGCCTGACATAAAAAAAAAAAAAGCATACAGCTGCAGCTGCTCAAAGATCGCTAGTTTAAATCAGGAATAAAAGTGTTGGGTCTTGTTTGACTGAAGTTTGGTCCGTTAGGGCTGCAGCTGCCCCGCTGTGTTTCTGCCTTTTTTTCCGTCCTCCCCTCCCGCTGTGCAGGACGTATTGCTGGTGTGTGTGTGTGTGTGGAGAGAGAGAGAGGGAGCAGTGCAGCAGTCAGCTCTGGTAACAGCATGCAGAGTGAGGGCAGAGCAGAGGAGGGAGAGAAAAAAAAAAGAAGCTGCGACCACGACTCTTCCTCTGGGTCTCTCATATGGTTGTACAACGGAGCTTTTGCTATTGTTAGCCATGCTAACGTAAACGCTGGCTTTGGAGGGCGGAGTTAATGTCAACAGATTTTTGGAGGGCGTTACCAACAGAGCTCATTAACATAAACAGCTCTTCTGAACAGAAGTCAGAGCAGGCAGAACTAGAAAAAGGGAAATTTTATTATCTGAGAATCATTTTGTGCATTAAATTGAATGAACATGGTCTGGATAGCCCACAGACATACCATAAAAATTTCTAGGACCCATAATTGGTCTCCTTTAAACAAGTTGCCTTTTATTTATTTTTTTTAACAAGGTGTCCCATTTGTCCTCTGCAGGTGGATTGCCTGGTGCTGCAGCTGCATCGGATCGGAGAGCAGCTGGAGAAGGCCAACAGCCAGCGGATGGACGAGCTGTTCTTCCTGCTGCGGGACGGGTTCCTTCTTCAGGAGGGCCTCACCTCCATGACCCGCCTGCTGCTGCTGGAGATCTTAGAGTTTCGAGCCGGAGGCTGGGTGCTCAGCGGCACGGCCCACAAATATTACTACAGTGAAATCGCTGAGTGAGCAAACAGACGGGGTGGGTGCTGAGCCCATCCGATCATTCCACGATTATAAAACCAGCAGCTTTATTGTGAAAAGCAACATATTACAGGTAATCTGAGCGGAGCTTTAAGATGGTTTGAAACCTGTTAAAAACAACTTTTTGATTTTGCTGGATAGTTTCTTTTTTTTGCATTTGGTCATAATTGATGTGAAATGTGCAATAGTTAAAGCTTTCAGTTTCAGTTACGAAGCTTTAATTACTTTTGGTTGAAAAGATGTTTGTCTTAAAGGTTCACTCAGGACTGAAAAAAAACTTCTTATACATTTGCGTTTTTAGAAATATTTTCTTTACCAAATTTGAAGAAGTTTGAGGAATCATTCTAGTCAGATGTTGCTTTACTTTCTTATTCTTGTTTACAGTTCAAATGTACTTTATCCTCATGAGGAGTTATGTGAAGTCTTTTTTTTAATGTAGATAGTGGGATGTTCTGGTCAGAGTGAAACTATAAAATGATTTCAAAGTTTAAGTTTAGATGCAGATTTGTTCTTTATTGTGAGGCTGACTTGTCATTTAACTCAGTTTTATTGCAGGAGAATTTTTTAACTTGGTTAGGTTAAAAGGACCAAAAACCGTTGGACTCCATTTGAAGATGTATTTCTACAGAACTGGAGTTTGATTTTTTTTATCACCAGTTTGGTTGAACAAACATGAATATTTCATTCAGGAAACTTTTTAAAAGTCTAAAAAACACACTTTTTTAAGTTTTGAACTTTGTATCTCATGTTCTTACTTTCCTGCTGTTTATACATTTTTTTTAACACGCTGGCTCCAAAAAAATACATTACCGTAAATAAACATTTACTTTGTAGAAACAAACGATTTAATTTAGATATTAAAAAGTAAGCATATTAAAAAGTAATTGTAAATATTTGAATTACTCTGACAGCAGTTGTTGTACATATATTTTTGTACAATGTCTGAGTACTTTTGTGAAACTCTGTTCTGGTTTTCTACATTCAAATTGTACATTAAACACTTGTTTAATAAATTCTTTTTTTCTTGACTCTGCTCTTATTTTGTAATAATTACAAACACTGGTGTTTACTGTACTCAGTACAAATTATTTAATCCAAAAACAACCGTACTTTTGACTTTAAGCATATTTCACCTCCTTCCACAGGGAGTTTCATGTTATTTACAGTTATTTGAGCAGTAATGTGAATGGACAATACTTCAGTCCCAAAATGTTTTTGTCTACCACCAGCGGAAGTGGGCGTATGCTCTGTTAGATTCAGCCATCTTGTGCATATCAAGCCTCTTCTTGATGATTTTGCCCTCTTTGTTAAAGGCAATGAGCAGTTCCTCAGCGAGTTTTTCATACATGTACACGCGATCGTCTTTGCCCTCTCTGCATTCTGTGATCATCCATTTCATTGCAAGGAAGCGGCGTCGGCTCTCTGTGAGTGGGACGGGCACCTTGGGATTGGAGACAAAATTAAACATCTATGCATTTATTTTGTAGCTGCAAGATATACTTTTTTCCCCCTAAACATTAATCTCAATAGATTTGCTCAATTTTCATTACATAAAATGTCCTGTAATCTAACAGAAGAGCTTTAAAGTGCCTCTTTACTGACCTGGTAGTGTTTTCCACCTTTATCTACGGTGGTCAGACCAACCACGGGCTTACAGTTCTCCAAAGCCTGGTGAAAAATCGTGAGGGGATTACACTCAATCACTGCTTTATTTTCCGCTGAAGATTTGTGATATTTTTCCACTTGTTTCCTTTTTATGAGCTCCAGTGTCTGAAAGAAAAAATGTTATTTTGCTGAGAAGCAACAAATGAGTGAGCAGTATTCAGCAAGATCTGAGCAACGCTTGGCTTTACCTTTGTCATAATCTCTCTGGCCAAACGTTTGTTTCCCTCTTTCATCATTATGTTGGTGAATTTACTGAAAAGAAAAAAACAAGAAATGACTGCAAGACTTAAAACAGGAGAATCAGGTGTGCATTTTGCAGCAGAGTTGTCTTTAATTACCTGACAACTGGGTCATAAAAAACCGAGCTGGTTATTGAATTGGTCGCAGCTTTGATGGGTTGTACCAGCTTCTGCTCACGCTCCTCTACCTCCTCAGCACTCAGCTCACTCACTGGTCGGCTGTAAACCTCCTTCTTGACCTCGGGCTCCAGATAGTAAGGATTGTATCTGCTCCATCTCACCAAAACCACTCTGCAAACAAAGAACACATTTACTGGACAGTTTTAGTGTTTAGATCGATAAGAGTATGCAAGAACAAATCAAATTTTTATTTATGTCCTAAAAAAAGTGTAATTTATATGCTTTCTTTGCAATTTCTTTTGTTTGCCTACATTAATTACAAAGCTGGTCAGAATTTGTTTAACTCTCTCCAATGTTTTGTACCGTGCTAATGTGAATGACTTCTAAAACATTAATATTCTCATCAAACGACCACAATGAAAGCACTTTTCATAAACTAAAAGTTTAAGACAACTTCAAGAAAAGTTTTAAACATTTAAGTCGGACAGAAATCTTTTTTTATTGTACATCTTAGACATTCACTCATTTTCATGAAATTCACATTTAGGAACTTATGGTGGGCACTCATGGCTACAGGTGGCCGGATGGTACCACTCTTGCCTCCTGTGCCCACCCCCCAATGTTTGCATATAGACACTTAGGGTTTTGGGTTAGAGTAGTGGTGGAGGGGAAACTGGCACCAC